TCATGCAGGTGATTTGTGTTATCTGTACAGGTGAGAGGACTGATGATAAAAATGTGTGGGAGGAGAATACCGAAATAGAAGTTATTGCGTCATTCACAGCCAATCAAAGAACACCAAGTGTCACCTGTGACCTTTAGGATATAAAATAAGACACCTGAAACTGTAAGTTCAAAATCAAAAAGTAATGGCTGCCCCAATAGAGGATGTCCTCATTGAGGTCCATCCATCTGATGGTAAGTTGGGAATGTGTAACCCTATAGTGATAACTATAATGCCTTTTGTTTTTGGTAGATGAACTTGGTAAGTTGTTGGTACATGTATGTTTGTGTTGTACATTAAAAGCAAAAAATAATTGTATTTATAGCAGAAAAAGATGAAGTAAGGGTGAAAGAGACGAAAGGAGACAGAGGAGAGAGGACAGAGGAGAAGGGGGACAGAGACAAAGAGGAGGGTGGAGATAGTCAAAAGGAGAATGGTAAGATTAAAAGGTGAAACATACAACTATACATGACATTGTTTTTAATAGAATCAAACGGCTTAAGTAAGTTTATTTACATGTGTAATTGTGTGATAATTTTTGTTGTGAAGTAGCTATGAGAAGGACTATTAAGCTAAAAAGTAATTTTGCATTCAATTTTAGTTAGTTCCATTTACAATAGGCAAGAAGAAAGAAGGAAGGCCCTTACGTAATTAAACAATAGTTGAATTACTTGTACTTTAAATTCACATTTCTTAACAAAAGACTTGGAACAGTTCAGGCCTGCTCTCCGAAGTAAACTTAATTTTAAGTGTAAATTAAAGGCTTTATGCCATTGTAATTTAGGGCAGTTGGAACTCATTGAAGAGGGCAGGAGGGAGAGGATGGGGAGTAGTGAGGAGATGGGAGAAGAAACAGAGACAGGAGAAGAGACAGAGACAGGCGAGGAGACAGGGACAGGAGAAGAGACTGGGACAGGGACAGAGAGAGACAGAGGAAAAAAATTTAAAGTATCAAAAGAGCATTATTGAAATGAGTAATCACTAGAATTTTTCCTTTGCTTAGAAAAAGCGAAGGCAACACAGAGGAGGGTGGGGTAAATGTGGAAAGCGTGGAAGAGGAGGGAGGGGAGGAGGCCAAGGAGGGTGGGGAGGAGGCCAAGGAGGTAGAGGGGGAGGCCAAGGAGGAACAGGAGGAGCCCCTCGTCCAACAGTAAGGAAAGGAACATAATGAAACATAAGAATAACAATAATCTTTTATAGGATTCATCAGCAAGTGCTAAAACTATAAATTATTTTAATGTTAAATGTAGGAACCTTAATTATAGTTCTAAATAAAATCTAAATAAAAATATTACCTGTAAACTCAAGCAGAAGCGATGTCTGGATGTAAATGACCCAGATGATGTTATTACAGTTCACAAAAAGGACTTTATTGGCACTAGAACACATAGCAATAACTCTACAACTTTTGTAATGAAATAACTTACTTGTATTTGATGTCTCAATGCATGGCTGGGCTTTAGATCACTCTTAAGATGTCCAAAAAGCAAGAAAAGTAAGTTAAAATGCTGTCAAGTGCTTCTTTCTTCTTTAACCGTTTATTAATTGATTTGGGTGTGGTTTACGTGGTGGGCGTGGTCACATTTACTACGTGAACGGGCGTGACACGGAAACATTGAAAATAACTTAAAATGCCTTTTTCTCTGTACTTGTATTCCAGAGAAATCATCCAAACAGCGTCCCTAACTGCAAAGTTTTATTGCGCATTGTCATAAATGGGATATCGCTGGAAAGGAAATTTTTTCTCTATCTGTAAGTACCAAAAACTGATTTTACCAAAATCCCGCAGATAGCCTGGTTATCTCATATCGGGTCACATATAGGACGAACCCAAAACTTTTTCGGTCGCTTTCTTCTCCTCCGACGATGTACAATCGGGGCAATTGTCAGTTCATCTTCACTTGAGCTGGTGGTAGCCATGTTATGCAAGGTGTGGTTAAGATTTGCTAATAATAATAATTATTAATGTTTATTAATTTCCGCAACGTTGACAACTTTTGTAAATTCACCCAACGCTGACGTTCAAAATGCTCAATTCGTTCGGAACGCTGACGCATGCACATCGTCATATTGTAAATTCGGCTTTACATTGAAAAAGCTCTAGTCGATCATATGTATTCATAAATACAAAAAGACCAGAGAAAAGAGGAAGACTATTTAAGTCAAATACAAAGCTAAGAGCTATGAGTACTGGAGATGATGATGTCATCAATCCTGGTCCATTAGAGAGATATCAATCTAGTCTTGATGGAGAACCATTTCACAGTATGAGTCTAGCACACTTTTCTGTATGGTACAATGTTGCTGATAAAAAGTATGAGCCAACAACTTCGCATGCCCAACTAAGATATGAAGTAAAGAATGGTCTTGGAAAGATATATCTAAGATGAAAGCAAGCGTGCTTGAGACTACCGACAATAACACAAGAGTCTCAAGGTGATAGTTACTATTATCAGTTAATCTTTCTTTATCTCCCATGGACTCTTGATTTAATTGGAAATAATGGCTCTGCTCAAGCATCATTTGTAGCAAATAAAGATAAATTACATTAAGTACTGAACAACACTCCTCTTTTGCTGATGAAGTTCAAAGAGTAACAGAGCAATTATGTCTACTAAATCAAAGTAGCGATGCTATGTACGCTCCTGTTGCTTCTTGTACTTCGTACATAAATTTAGAAAATAATAATGAAGATGATGGAATGATCCAATATCGCCATGAGTTATATCTCGATGATGTAGCCACATTACTAGCTAATGATAAATCATCAAAATCAATGCAGTCAACCTACAGAACAAAATAATGGTGACATAGAAGATGCGTTTACTCTAGACTCAATCTCAAGGCGTCGCTTTTCAGAATCAGATTTTGAAGCAATGATAGCGAGTCTGAATGATTCCCAGAGAGTCTCTTATGAGAAGGTCCTTGAGTATTCAAGAGCAGTACATGAATTTTAAATGGGGACCAGAGAGTCAATGCCCAGCCCTTTTTGTATGTTTATAGCAGGTGGTGCTGGAACTGGTAAAAGCCATGTTATAAGTGTCATCAAAAAGCATTTAGAAAGAGCTCATATTGGTCCTGGAAATGCTTGCATTTCAATGGCACCAACTGGTGTTGCAGCTTTTAATAGTGGTGGATTAACCATTCACTGGGCTCTCAATCTTCCTGTAGAGCATGGAAACTCCACTACCTATTGAAAGCTTGGAGCTGAGAGATTAAAGGAACTAAGACAATCCTGGAAATATGTCAACACCATAATAATAAATGAGATAAGTATGGTCTCATACTTAACAATGGTCTTTATTCACAAGAGGCTAACTGAAAATAAAGCAACCGATGACACTGATGTTCTCTTTGGAGGACTGAATGTCATTGCAGTAAGTGACTTCTTTTAGTTGCCACCAATGAGGGACAAATTTGTACTTTAAGATGGCAGAGGCTATAGTCCAGGCTCAGCACACATGTCGAGAGATGAGTTCAAACTGATAGAACTAACTCAGAATATGAGACAGAGGAGACACAAAACATTCTGATATTCTCAACAGTGTGAGATATGGTTCTCAAACAAAGTCTGGCATAAGTGTACTCCGATCAAGATTGACAAGTGGTATCAGGGATCCAATTGGTCAGTCAAACTCCATTTGTTGATGCATTATGCCTGATACATTTAAAAGAACAAGTAGAAGATTATAATGACAGTAGATTAAAAAATTTATTACACTTGACTAAAGTATATGATTTTGATGCTGAGCATTGAATAGTAGAGTCGACAAAACTAATCCATGGTGCAGTATCACATGAAGAAGTCCCATAGTCGCTCATACCTTTTCAGTGATAAAGATTGTGCTGACTTATCTCGTAAAGTGAAGTTAGCCATAGGACAGGTTATTGTAACATTATACGTGAGGAGGGATTAATAAATGGAGCTAGAGGAATTATTGTGGGTTTCTCATGGCCAAATGGAGTTGATCATCAAGCAAAAATAGAGGACTTACCACAAAAAGTAATGTAAAATTTCATGACACGTGTAGGTCTTGTGAGCTGTGTCACAATTCATGATTTATTAGAACAAGACACTGTCCCAATAGAACCAGTCGCGGCCATGTTTTATGGCAAGCAAGGAGTACCATTACAGTGTACGCAGTTACCATGACTACCTTGCTGGGCAGCTACTATAACATAAGATTCAGGGTCTATCTCTTGATGCTGATGTAATCAATTTAGGTAATAAAATGTTCAAAGATGAAATGGCATACGTTGCCTTAAGTAGAGTGAGAACGCTCCAAAGAGTTGCTCTACTAGGACAAGTCGAAAGGACAATCACATATTCAACAGTAGCAAAAGATGAAATGGATAGACTAAGGAACCATAGAATATAAGTGATGATGTGTCTTCTGGGATAGTCAAGATATAGTATACTAATTCAAATTAAAACCACAAAAGTTATGTGGTCTATATTATAGTACAATAATATAATACAACTCTTGACTCTATTTATAATGATGAATGGAGTTTGGGGATGGATGGTGGGCCCAGAAGTAAAATCTCACTCTTGCTTTATGTATTGAGTGAAGATATTAGTAACGCGGTAGCGTTACTAAGTAGGATTCACCCCAAAACAAAATGTCTGCCACGACTTTTGCAGCCTTGCTATACCGGGAAAACGAGCTCCTGTGCTTACCAGACTTCATAGAGGACCTTATCTTGACCAGAGGACTCCATTGGTACTACTAGCATGGCTCTAAACCTTGTCTAAGAGGAAAGTAATAAATCGGCAAATTGGCCGTTTTGTTCAGTCCACTTTTTTCATCTTAGTCATCTTCTCCTGTCAATCTAGTTAATGGAGGGTATCATGGTCTTTGGTCAATGCTACAAGGCTTATTTTTACACCATTCTACTCCAACTATCCATGCGCAGGTCCACAACTTTTCAAAGAACTCTAACAATAAGATAAAGTTGCCCTCTCTCTATTACCCCAGCCCAGCTCACCTCATTCCGCCATTTGTAAT